GAACAGTGATGGACGGATCTTCAAGGGCTTTTGGGCTTGATCTTGAAGAACGGTTGGATGTGTGGATTTGTCGACGTTGTTAATCCAAAGGGGCCGTTGGGGCTTGATCTTGGATGAACGGATGATGAACGATGGGGCTTTCTTCAAGAGTCGTCGGGGCTTGATCTTTGAAAGAACGATGAACGAAGAATGAAGAACACTTTCTTCAAGGGCCGTCGGGGCTTGATCTTGAATTGGTGGTGATGATTGTTGATCCAGAAGGGCCGTTTGGGCTTGATCTTGGAAGAACGATGAACGAAGAACGAAGAACACTTTCTTCAAGGGCCGTCGGGGCTTGATCTTGAATTGGTGGATGATTGTTGATCCAAAGGGCCGTTTGGGCTTGATCTTGGAAGAACGATGAACGAAGAACGAAGAGAGCTTTCTCGATTCTTCGGGAACCTGGATGCTTGAGAGCTTCGGAGTTTCAGAGCTTCAGAGCTTCAAGGTGTAATCTGAATTCCTCCCCCCCTCAAATGAATGAAATGGGCTTGTATTTATAGAAGAATTTTCCAAGGCCTAATTTTGAATATAATATTCCAGATGAAAATAAGTCGTTTCTGCCAGGTGTTGACACGTGTCCTATTTGATGACTTTTCCAACTCATTTCAATTTTCGTTGAGTCACACGCTACGTGTAAAATTTATGTAATACATGAGCGTTGACACTTTGATTTATCGGTCAACATTTATTTACCGAAATTTCGATGTCTACAAATGCCCCCACTTCAAGGCACGTCGTATACATGTGCTTGTCACGTGTAGGAGATGCGTTTTGAAGTCCCTTACTGTAGATGTCGATCCAAGGGCCGTTCGAGGCTTGATCTTGAATTGGGCTTGAGATTTCTTCAAGGGCCGTTGAGGCTTGTTCTTGAACTTTCGTTTGAAATTTCTTCAAGGGCCGTTGAGGCTTGTTCTTGAACTTTTATTTGAAATTTCTTCAAGGGCCGTCGAGGCTTGATCTTGAAGGTTGAAATTGGACCACAAGGAGCTTCATGTGGTAGATGATCTTTGGCTTTGGTAGTGGATGAATCAGCACGTATTTTGTTGCGCTTGTTGACTTTCCACAGCTTTGATCTTGAACTGGGTTGGAGGATTTTCTGGATTCCTCCAATTGTTGATTTTCCACAGCTTATTCTTGAACTAGGTTTTGATTCAAATATGGGTGGTAGACGCTTGATCTTGAATCGGACTTGTGATTTCCTCAAGGGCCATCGAGGCTTGATCTTTGAATTTGGCCGGAAACTTCTTCAAGGGCCGTTGAGGCTTGATTCTTGAAAGGTTGACTCGAACACATGGCAAGCAGGCACGAGGTGAAAGGGTGACAACCTGTTTCTTTGTTCAATCTTTCTAATTCACACCTGAGCAGTTTGGTCAACGGTATGATCTTCAAGATTGATGATGGCTTTTCTTCCAGTTGGTGACTTGATCTTTAAGGATTCGATTCAAGGGTGGTGAATCGGCACGTGCAGCCCACAACGCCTAGTAAGTCGACCCAAGAATTTGAGGGTCAAAACAAGTTCACCGTCCTCAGGCAGATTCGACATCTTCTCGAGTTCTTCATCTCAGACTCTTTCTGCCGAGTTGGCTGTGCATGCTGCATTCTTCTCTCTGCTTGTTTCTTCAGGCAGATATGGCAGCTTCTCGAGTTCCTCAGTTCGGACTCCTTCTGCTGAGTTGACTGTGCAAACCGCATTCTTCTCTGCTTGTTCCTTCTGCACCTTGTCTCCACATGCTGCAAGGTATCATTTTCACTTGCCTTATCTGTTCTCCAGGCAGATGTGGCAGCTTCTTTGAAAGTACAGCAGCAGTAGAAGGCGAGTACTCGAGAGCAGTGCTAGGTAGTCAATCAGGGAAGGGTTCCAAGCAGTCGGTTCCTTACCCGAGTTTGAGTGGAAGTTCCGGCATATTGTTTTCTTTATCCTTGTCTTTGTAATAAGAACAAGGACAAAGGAAAGGACAGGGAGAACGCATGATATGAGATACTCTTGCTTTCTACCCTAGTGATATGAGATACTTTTGCTTTGGTGTCATTTGTTTGCCGAGGTACCCCAAGGAATAAGGAACACTGAATGACTCGAGAGGTTTCTTTGGGAAAGCATTTTTGGAGATGAAGAAATGTTATGTATGTCTGCCTTACTATGTAGGGTGAAGGTAGACAGTTTATAGGAAGTTCTTTAATACTTGTAGATGTACTATTCTTTCACTCGTGTCGACAACTAACGCGTGATTGAACAGTAAAATTTCACGTGCTTTCTCCTTCACCGAAAATCTTCGACAAATTGCCCGTGATTTGCGCAAAGTTGAGTGTGCATATGACAGGTGATGACGAGGCTGAAAAGACTGGCGCCTCTTCGATATCTGGGATTGGCGCTTTAACAAATTGCCCGTGATTTCCGCAAAGCTGAGTTTGCGTGTGACGGGTGTTGACGCGTCTGGAAAAGCAAGATGCTTCTCCGATTTCTGAGCTTGCCTCTTCGATTTTTGAATGGCCTCTTCGAATTCTGAGCTCGCCTCTTCGATCTCTGAAATCCCGTCGAGTGCTGATTTTTTATAGAGGCATGCAGTTTGTTTCAAAGCACACTTGAATTTTCGCTTGTGAAAACTCCCCTCTTGCACTTCTAAGATCTTGATTTGTCTGATCTCTTCTTCCTTCAACACTTTGAAAATGTCTGGACCCTCCGACCGTCGTTTTGACTTGAATCTTGGTGAAGAGGCAGTCCCGCCTTCTCCAGACAACATATGGCGCCCATCCTTCATATATCCCCTACTGGTCCTCTTACCGTTGGGGATTCGGTGGTGAAGAATGATATGACCGCTGCGGTGGTGGCCCGAAACCTTGTCACTCCCAGAGATAACAGACTACTTTCCAAACGGTCTGATGAGTTGGCTGTTAAGGATTCTCTGGCTCTCAGTGTGCAGTGTGCAGGTTCTGTGTCTAATATGGCCCAACGCCTATTTGCTCGAACCCGTCAAGTTGAATCATTGGCGGCTGAAGTGATGAGTCTCAAACAGGAGATTAGAGGGCTCAAGCAGGAGAATAAACAGTTGCATAAGCTCGCACATAGCTATGCGACAAACATGAAGAGGAAGATTGACCAGATGCAGGAATCTGATGGTCAGATTTTACTTGATCATCAGAGGTTTGTGGGTTTGTTCCAGCAGCATTTACCTTCGTCTTCTGGGGCTGTACCGACTGCTGAGGCTTCAAACAGTCAACCTCCGGCGCCTTCTCTTCCTGGAGCACTGCCGAGTTGTGAGGCGCCACCTGATCGTCCTTGAATATCCCCTCTTGTAAATTTGATTTGATTTGATTTTTTTTTTTTTTTTTTTTTTTTTTTTTTTTTTTTTTTTTTTTAGGTATGTATAATGCAAATTTATGTAAAATTTCCAGAAAAATAAATAAAATGGACTTTTATTTCTCTTAATGTTTTTTTTTTTTTTATTTTATTTTTTATTTTTTTATTTTTTATTTTCCTTTCTTTTCCTCTGTTTTATTTTTTGCACATGGTGCCTGAGCACCAAATATCAAACAATTCTTTTCTTTAATCATGGTGCCAGACGCACCTCTCCTTTTTTCACGTGGTGCCATCACCACTTTGCTCCACCATCCTTTTTTTTTTTTTTTTTTTTTTTTTTTTTTTAATATATTTTTTCTGTATAAATTTGGGTAGTGGGTAGAGGAATTTGCAGGGAGCGGAGCTCGAGTTTGAGGAAGAGCTTCTCGGCCGGCTAGTCGTTTGACAGCGGTCTTTGAAGTTGTTGGCAGCTGCGAGGCAAGAGACGGTGGAGGTGGAGGTGACCAGGGCAGCTGTGACGGACAGAGACGCCATGGCAGGACCTCGAGGAGTTTTAAGATACTGGTGCAGGTACTGGTGAGGATGTGCAGGTTCCTTGGATGGTGCAAATTATTAGATGGAGGCCAAGCGCTGCGGTGGAAGGAGTCGATGCCGAGAGCGCAGCCCAACTTGCTCCGGGTGTGCGCACCATATACAGCAGGTGGGGTTTGGTGGAGATTCAGACGACGCGGCGACAGAGTTGGCACCACCTTCCAGCATCTCGAATGTGGAGCTCTAATGGTGAAGAGGGGTTGGGCTGGATGTCGCAGAGACAGCGGAGATTGATCCTTGGAGAGAGCCTGAGCTTCTTCCTGCACGTCTCGCCATTCTTTTCGTCGCTGATGCCACGAGAGCCGTCTCTCTCGAGGTCGAGATCCTTGCCGTTGGCGTCTCTCTCGCTCCGCCTGCTGCTACTCTCGACACGGTGCTGTTGGGGAAGGATGATCAGCTAGGAAGAAGAAGCTGGGTTGCTGCTTCCATTGCTGGGCAGCCGAGGAAGAGAAGTGGAGAGCTTGGAGTTTGACGCAGCCGTGGAGGAAGAAGACGGAGGAGTGGAGTTCGTGGCGTATGCAGGAAGTCTCGGCCTTGAAGTGGATGAGGGTACGACGACAGCAGATCCACCATTTTCTCTGAAAGCTTTACGGAGCTCTGACAGAGAGAAGATCCTCAGCAAATCCCTGTCGTCATTAGACCATTTCAGCCCATATACCTCAGACTTGTGGCCAACAGGCTTGCTGATGTAATTGTCTGGGACTCGAGGATCATGTTGAAGTATGTTCCGGTCTCGGCTTTCTGAAGCTAATATGCGCGAGTTCCACGCCAAAATTCCAGTCCTTGTTTGGTGGTGCCTACCCATCGTTCGAACCCTCTTGCACTGCATCCCATCCCGAACCTGGACTCGACCAAGACTTGTGCCAATTGACAAGTCTGACCCCTCCCGTGTCCGTTGGATAGAGCACACACCCGTCATTAGGCCTCAAGTCACACAATTTTGTCACCTTGCTTGTTTGATGTACTCCAAAGATAAACACTGGTGCCGAGTCAAACTGCCAGAGCATTTTGGGAAGACCATTCCACAAGGTTCAAGTAAAAGTCATCTTGTAGTGATGGAGCATCCAGAACCTTATGGGGTGTCTTGGGGACCTTGCGAGGAGGCTTGAGAGGACGATGATGATGATGAGCATGGATGGTCGGGGAACGGCAAAGACAGGATAAAATCTTCAATCCGACCTCGCCCTTGATCTGAGAAAACACTCTCCGTTTCTCCAGTATCAGCTTTGGAATGCGCCCAGTAGTAAAGGCTTGACCCTGCCAGTGACAACAGCGTAAGAACAGTGCCGGCGGCAAACATGCCCTTGCGCAGAGTAGCACAGGACAAGTCATCTACTACTTTGAAGATTCCCCGGTACTTGGTGTGGTATGCATTCTTTGCCGACCCAGCCAACAAGCACGCCTCCGCTCCCAAAAAGGTTGTCCAGGAGAAGACGAAGAAGAAGACGGTCCAAGTGGTGGAGGAGCCAGTGACTAGACCTTTGCCGCAGCAGAGACACCTGGTGACGACGTTAAGCACCGTCTGGCTGACGGCAAGCAGCCCAAACGCCGCTAGTCCGTACACCGTGGAGGCATCCGTGCCGTACACGCAGTAGGTACGCTCGTCGTACTCATCGGGCACTATCTTTGCCGTGCTACGGCGTCGTTCGGTGCCGACGGCGAAGATGAAGGCGATGAGATGGAGGGAGGTAACGATGGCGACTATGGGTATCGAGACTGCCATTGTTGTCTCTCGCTTTCTCAGTGGGGAGTGTGTGGGAAGGACTGGTTGGAGCAGTGCCTGGTGCGGATCTGTTCCAACGAGCCCGCGCTCCAATGGACGACAGATCGGAGTATGGAATCGATCCGCCGCTCAAGGTCGAAGGCGGAGTTGAGGCAGGGATCCTTGCACACCTGCAGCCACGGCTTGCAGACCAGCATCAGCGCACTCCATCGGTGCTCCAGGGTGAGATTCTCAGGTCGTCAGCGTCGGTCCGAAAGGAGAGCTCTAGTGATCAGGCTGAAGACATGGGGAAAGGAGCCAAGTGGGTCAGATTTTGTAGCCGGGCTCACGGTTTGGGTCTGAGGAGAGATGGAGATGGGCCAAATTTTGTAGCTGGGCTCAGATATGTATATATATATATATATATTTTTTTTTTTTTAATTTTTTTTTTTTAATAATTTTTTTTTTTTAAAGAAATTGTAATTTAATTTTGTACCAAGAAAATTGCAAGTAAATTTGTAATAAAATTGACCTTCATTAATGAGACTTTAATCAAACCCCCTTTTTTTTTTTTTTTTTTTTAATAAGATTGACTTTCTTTAATAAAACATTTATTTATATTTTGATGTGACTGAACTCGAAAAATTGAACATTCGAGCTGCCTACGTACCCCTCCAAAGAAGAGATCAAGTCATAACGTAGTTCAAAACACATTTTTTTCTTGGTATTTTCTTTTGGTGGTGCCGTTTGCAGTTTTAACTCATGCAGGCAAGGAGTGTTGGTGTCGTTTGCAGTTTCAACTCGTGCAAACAAGGAGCATTTGGTGTCGTGTTGCAGTTTCAGCTCGTGCAGACCAGGAGCGTTGTGCCATGCAGTTTAGGCTCGTGCAGGCGAGGAGCTTCGTGTCCTACAGTTTAGGCTCGTGCGGACAAGGAGCTTTGGTTCGTCAAGCGATCTGAGAGAGTTGTTCCTCGCAATCTTCGTAGCAAGGAGCCTTGACTGAGTAGTTGAAGAAGTCTTCTGGGAAGATGTCACGCATCGTGATGGGGATGGATGATCTTCGTGTCAAAGTTTCATTATCTCCAACACTTTCACATTGTTCTAGAGGTGAACATGAGCTGTTTTGCCCCCTTTCCCATTGGTGAGCTTGTGGAGAAGACATATGCTTCTTGTGCAATTTCTTCGGCGTGACATAAGTCCATCCTTCAACTTCACTCGGCTTGACTGGCATGTTTTTGGAGCATGCCCCCAGCAATTGAGGTGAAAATTTTGAGTTGACAGAGCCGGAAGTGACGTCTTTTTCCAGGATTTCTTCTTCTTTGTCTTCTTGAGCCTTCTCTTCAGTGTGGTCCTCTTGGGTTTGTTGCCGTGAAGATTGGCCGGTGTAGATGATGGTGCGCCTCCTTACCTTTAGTGGTCCTTTTGTGTCGACTTCTAAAGTTGCTTGACGTTTCATCCTTGAAGGAATCAAGCTTTGAACATCGTCTTTTCCTGCTAGACTGTCGAGCTTCTCTCCCTTTGGCGTTGTCTTCCTGTTTCTAGAAGGCTTCTTAGTTTCTTCAAATCTGTCCAAAGCCGACCGTTGCGGAAGAGATCTAGCTGTGCCTCTTTGTTTCTTGGGTTTTGATAACCTTTCAAAGACTGATCTTTGCGGTGTTGGCGTCTCAAGCCTTTTGAAGACGAAAGTTTGGTCTCGACCACTGATGCGATCAAGTGCTGCAATTCTAGGTTTTGAATAATTCAGCCTTTCGAAGACTGAAGTTCGAGGGGTGGGTTTAGGCTCCTCTTTTGGCCTTGTGACTTGTGGTCTTGGCTTCCTCATTTTGTAGGTCACCGATGTCCACCCTTTCTTATCACCAGTAGATGCATCTTGGTTGCTTGCCCCTGGTGATGGTTGTGTAGGAGGTGTCATGTGACTTGAACATTGACAGGAATGGTCATGCATGCTTCGGATATGCACAGGATCGAGTGATTCAAACACGATAGTAGTAGTGTGTGCCGCAACCGTGTCTTCGAGGTCAAGCTCGATTTCCCCTTGCTGTGCTAGCTTCAAGATGAGATCTTTCAGTACGAAGCACTTTTCCGTTGGATGACTGATGAAGCGGTGGAATTTACAGTATCTTGGGTTGTCGGTATGATTCATCTCTTCCGGCCGTCTGCACTCAGGCAAACTGATCACCTTCTTGTCCAACAAGTCATCCAGCATGGCAACTACATCAGAGTCGGGGAATGGATAAATCTTTCTCCTCAAGCTCCTTCAAAGTACGTCTACGCATCTCTTGATCACGAAAATCTTTGGTTTTGAATCGCCTTGCCTCGTGTAGGAGATTTTGACGGGAGCTTTGTTGACCGTCATTGCGCTTCTTCCTTTGTGGATTTCCACGTAGCCTTCTCCACCTTTGTCTCAAGAACTTTGTCGTTCTTGTAGTTGGCGATCGGTTCCTTCTTCCCATGATGGGCGATGCTTAGCTCCATGTCATGGGCGCGAGTGGCTAGCTCTTCGAAGGTCCGTGGTTTGATGCCTTGAAGAATGTATTGCAAACCCCATTGCATGCCCTGGATGCACATCTCAATTGAAGAGGTCTCCGAGAGCCTATCTTTGCAGTCGAGGCTTAGAGTGCGCCATCTGTTGATGTAGTCAATGACTGGCTCGTCCTTCCACTGCTTTGTGCTCGTTAGCTCTAGCATGCTCACAGTGCGGCGGGTGCTGTAGAAGCGGTTGAGGAATTCCCGCTCTAATTGCTCCCAGCTGTTGATGGACTCGGGCTCTAGGTCCGTGTACCACTCAAAGGCATTTCCTTTCAGCGAGCGCACAAACTGCTTGGCGAGGTAAGTTTCCCTCTGTCCCCGCGTTGTTGCAAGTTTCGACGAAATGTGCAACGTGCTGCTTTCGGGTTTCCTTTTCCATCAAACTTGCATGAACTTTGGTGGTTGATAACCCCTTGGCATCCTTAGGGCATCAATCTTCTTTGGAATAGGGCTTCGAGTAGAACAAGGAGGTATGTGAGCTCCCTTCGTACTGTGCCTTGATGGTGTTGGTGATCATCTCCTTGCAGCTGCTGGATAGAAAGAGATCCCATGAGTGCCGTTGCTTGGTCTGGCTCCGGCTTCCCATCGATTTTCTTCACCGGGGGTTCTTCGTCTCCGCCAGCTCCTCCCTTTAGTGGATCATCCTCTGGGTCGGGTTTATCGCCGTCTTGTGCCTCCAATCGGTTGACTAGTGCTGCAATTTGCAAGTCTTTTTCTTCCACTGTTCGGGTTAGCCTTGCGATTGCTTCATTCATTTGAGCCAGCTGCTCATCGATTGAAGTTGCTCCAATGGTCATGACTTGCATGGCTGAACTGTCGCTTGAATCGGCATCGGAGAGCATGGATTCGGAGTATTTCCTTGGGCTTTCCCCCCTTGGTGCCCTTAGTGAGGCTAAGGTGATCAAAGGCTCGTGCCTTGGGTGCTTTTGTTCCCTTGGCAGAGTTGATGCAGAGGTGAAAGAGGCGGCAGAAGTAGCTCTTGCCATGCTTCGAGTCGTGATGCCCAAAGTGACACCAGTTGCGACGAGGACGCTTTTGTTATTTGCGCCGGTTGCGGGAACAGTTTGAGCCTTCCTTGATGCCATTAATTTTGGAAGTGCCCTTGAATTTCTTGAACGGAGAAAGAGATGAGAGGCAGAGATTGTCCCACTGGGCGTGCCAATTTGTGAACACGGAAAATTCCTGAAACGAAAGAGACAAGAACAACGCGCACAAACAAATATTTGTATTTGATGATTTTGGGTTACAATCTCTCTCTATTTTGATCCTCTGATTCGATCTCCGTAAGGTGTTGATTGGTGGATATTTCGTTGATCCAAGGGCCGTCAAGGCTTGATCTTGGATGAACTGTTGGAAGTTTCTTCAAATGGCCGTGGGCTTGATCTTTGGAGGTGGATTTGAGCGGATCTTCAAGGAGCCGTTGGGGCTTGATCTTGAGGATGAATGTTTCTTCAAGGGCCGTTTGAGGCTTGATCTTGAATAACGGTAATGAGCAGATCTTCAAGGGCGTTTGGGCTTGATCTTGAAGAACAGTGATGGACGGATCTTCAAGGGCTTTTGGGCTTGATCTTGAAGAACGGTTGGATGTGTGGATTTGTCGACGTTGTTAATCCAAAGGGGCCGTTGGGGCTTGATCTTGGATGAACGGATGATGAACGATGGGGCTTTCTTCAAGAGTCGTCGGGGCTTGATCTTGAAAGAACGATGAACGAAGAATGAAGAACACTTTCTTCAAGGGCCGTCGGGGCTTGATCTTGAATTGGTGGATGATTGTTGATCCAGAGGGCCGTTTGGGCTTGATCTTGGAAGAACGATGAACGAAGAACGAAGAACACTTTCTTCAAGGGCCGTCGGGGCTTGATCTTGAATTGGTGGATGATTGTTGATCCAAAGGGCCGTTTGGGCTTGATCTTGGAAGAACGATGAACGAAGAACGAAGAGAGCTTTCTCGATTCTTCGGGAACCTGGATGCTTGAGAGCTTCGGAGTTTCAGAGCTTCAGAGCTTCAAGGTGTAATCTGAATTCCTCCCCCCCTCAAATGAATGAAATGGGCTTGTATTTATAGAATTTTCCAAGGCCTAATTTTGAATATAATATTCCAGATGAAATAAGTCGTTTCTGCCAGGTGTTGACACGTGTCCTATTTGATGACTTTTCCAACTCATTTCAATTTTCGTTTAGTCACACGCTACGTGTAAAATTTATGTAATACATGAGCGTTGACACTTTGATTTATCGGTCAACATTTATTTACCGAAATTTCGATGTCTACAATGTGATTTACAAAAGGTAATTTCTCCAGCATTTTTCTAAACACAAATATTAACACATCACAGTCACAGTTAATGTTTCCACTGACAACAAACAAAATGGAAGATGGTTTTCTTTTAATTTGTCATTGCATGAGTGTTTGGTTTTTTTCTTTTTAATTTGTCATTGCACGAGCGTTAAACAACGCAACAATGTTAAATTTTAGTTCTCATCCCTATTTTTCCTACTTCATTGATTAAAACCTTGTTTCTTTTTAATTTTTTATCAAAGTCCTTAAATTTTAATAAACGTCATTAATTATTTCAATAATAAAATATGTTTTAAACCCTAAATATATTCATTTGGTGTTAGAAACGTTACATTTTGTATATTTATATTTATGGTTAAATTTTTAATCACACATTTTTATTTTTCGTTTGTACCCATTTTTAATTTGCAACCATTTTTTTAATTTGTACCAACTTTCTCTTCAGTTTTAATTTTTACTCATATATTAATTCCTTTTAGTGCCCATATTTTTTAAACTTTTATTTGTATTTGTACCCATATTTTTGAATTTATTTGTACCCATTTTTTAATTTTGCTAAATGTACCCATGCTAATTATATGTATTTATTTTATGTTTTAAAATATATCAATTTTTTTTAAAATATGTTAATAATTATGTGGGTACATTATTTTTTTGCTATAATTTTTGTGAAGAACAATATTACTCTAAAATTGATTTTTAAGTATTTATTATATTTTAAAAATATTATTTGAATTTGTTTAAATTTCATAATTGGTTGGACATTAAATGCATAAATGCATGAGTTAAATCTCTTAATTCAAAGAGGCTAAGGACCTCGATCAAAATATTTAAACAAACAAGATTTTAGTCTAACAATTAGGTTGATTAGGAACTGGAACCAAAATGACCCATTTTAATAGCACTTATAGTTCTTTGTTTGACTTTTGAGCTAGTACATACATAATCTCCAGTTTTGGTGATTAAACTAAAACCTTGTGACCCAACGCTCTGGGTTCAAAATTTCAAATCCCCCTTTTACAGTATAGCTTGTATCAAATCACTACCGTACTACTACACTGTATATAAATAGTTTCTTTATTTTCTTGTATTCACCCATTTGTGGCCTATCATTTGATCACAATATTACCTCTCCAATGTGAGCTATATCAATGCTAATTGTGAGTATTATTTGTGTATGCTACATCTTGTTTTTTAGATTCTAAAGTTATACATATTTTTTGGTTATTATGTTTAACACAATGATTGTAACCTATATAAAATTCGGCTATATCTAATATAGACATTTAGCTTGAAACCTATAATTTAACACAATGATTCGGTATTCGCAGATCGAAGAAATGAAAGAAAACCATCGTGAAAGGCCATCTGGAGTTTTAAGTGAGTCAAAACAAGAAAAGCCAAAGAATGAGGGAAAAGGATCGTCGCTAAGCCAGGGTTCAGGGTAAAGTTTCTAAAGCTGCAACCAGCCACAGAAAAACTAAGAATAAATGTTTATACATCTGTCAAGACAAAGAGACTTATTAGGACTACCTTTTTTCAGTAGTTTTGTTCTAAAAAATACCCCATTTTGTTTGAGGTCAAAAAATGTTTTGAATTTTACGATCATGTCATCGTGTGTCTCCGAGATAGATTAATGAAGAGAAATTTTCATCCAAATATTAGTCAATTTTAGAGGTTTACTCTCCCTTTTTCTTAATGTATACACTCTTCTAGCGTTTTTTTTTTTTTTTTTGATACAGTAGTGATACTTTTCACTGATGAGTCAGAAATTTGGGCTAAAGCCACTTGATGAAAATGTTCAAACAGTAAACAAATTAAAACACAAGGATCAACTTGTCAGATTGCAAGCCCATGCACGATGCATGGACATTGAAATCCAATCAAGCAAATCACGCTTGACAAAAAAAAAAAGAAAAAAGCAAAACACGTACATGTATCAATTAGAGCGTCTCCAATCATGCTCATTATCTAAATAAATTTTAGCTAAAAATACCAGAAAGTTAGGAGCTCTGTAGAAGAGTTTACTCCAATCACACTCTCTGTTTTGAGGAGTTATATGGATTGCGGAAAAATAAGAATAGAATTTTATTTAATATCATTAAAATATTAATAATTCATTCTAAAAGCTCCTTTCTTACTCCCGAGGTTTAGCAGCTCCTAGGAGAATCCCTATCTTAGGAGGTGGATAAGAAGTGTGATTGGAGATGGATTTTTCCAAATCCTCCCCAGATTTTAGCTAGGACCTCAACTAGAAAAGCCATTGGAGATGCTATTCTTAACCCCATACAGTTGTTTAATTTCCTCGACGTCGTCATAGCTACCAAGGAATACTGGGGACCTCTCGTGTATCTTGTTTGGAACCAAGTCTAGGGCCTGCAATATTAACCATTTGGTAAGTTATTATATATCCAAGTGCTTCAGAAAGTTAAAAATTTAGCAAAATCTTGACGTCCAGCTTGATCAAATAACGTATATTTAGAAATAAGTTAATCTTGTAGTGTAAGGTAAAAGTATGGCCAACTAATATACCCTTTGCTTTCCAGTAAAAGCTTGACCTCCTGCTTGCTCAACCAGGTATGACATCGGGAAAACTTCGTAAAGAACTCTGTTTCAATGAGGAAATTGAATTCTTATTAAATTCCAAATCTCTTGTTACAAGAACTAATCGACGAAAAAAATTGTTACAAGAACTAAGTCCAAGAGAATTTGTGTGCAACTGTCTGCATTTGCAATAAAATGACATAGTAAATGGTGTACATGTAAAATGATTCGTGTTCATTCCATAGAATTAAAATGCACGTCAAACGCACGTAAGCCTTAAAGCACTTGGCATATCATATAATTAGTGGGATAAAAGTTGATAAAGAGAGAGCGCGCATGTACCGTAGTTTTCCATTTGGGCTTTTCTTATCGGCAGGGTACATAAACATGCCTCCGTATAGCAATGTTCGGTGCACATCAGCAACCATGCTGCATAAGTTTTATATGAAGGACGCGTAGGTTTACAATTTGATAAAAAGAGTAGCAAAATCTAGGAACAGAGATAATACGAAGAATGAATCACCTTCCAATGTATCTAAGAGACTTGGGAGATGAACCATCTTGGGGGAACTTGCATTTTTCCACATACCTGCGAGATAAAAGCATTGATTATACTACTGATTGATTCTATTTTTTATTAGTCACTTACAATTTTAAAGTTGTTCAGAAGGCAAATTATGTAATTAATATTCAGGACGCATATACTTGGTAGTTTGCTCATCCCAGTTCTGTGCATTTCCTTCATTTACTGAGTAGATCTTTCCCTTCTGCGGAATCTGCACATACTTGAAGAGTAAGAGTACATCCTAGCTAGTCTCCTAGTGTTATATTGTCGTTAACTGTCATATTATATGCATTCTTCGGCTCCTAACAAATTGATCAACAGCAAACGATAATAAAAATTTGACACTAGATTAACTGAAATCTGTTTGTGTCCAATCTAATTTTGTCAAGTTAAACGAGAGGAATCAAGTAGATATATATGCCGTTTATATATGCGCACCTTAATGTTGGAATGAGTTAATATAAATTCCCCTAGCGATGGATCAAGCGTGAAGCCATTCACTCCATTTCCAGTACTAAGCACCAGCTGCAGTTCCACGCCAACTTTATTAGCAAACATTTCACAACAGAATTGTTGCAAAGCTATAATTCAAGTTGAATAATTTGTGTGTAATTTACCGTGCAAGAGCTTCCATACATGCAATAACCAGCGGCTACCATCTTATTCCCAGGTCGCAGTACATCCTCAAGACTTGGGTTTTGCTTATCTTTCGCCACATAAATCCCAAAGATCTGAGTGCAGGTGAATGCTGGCTTATATATGTACTAATTATATTAATCTAGAAGCTTAATTAACGAGACCAGTTAAAAAAAGAAGGGGGCTAGCTAATACGTACAGTTCCTATAGAAACACCACAATCGATGTTGGAGGATCCATCCAACGGGTCAAAAACAACAATGTATCTGCAAAATCAACGGGAATTTAGTTGCACACACCTAAGTATCTAATTATACAACTGTAGCTGTATACACGAAAGGATATAGAAACACAAATGATAGAAACTAGAAACCTTCCACGCTTTGATGACTCTACGAATATGGCCTCTTCATCCTCTTCCGAAACAAGAATGCACTGGAACAAGGTAAATTTAGAAACAAACAAACAAATTATGACGCTGAACCTAATGTAATTTGCACCTTTCTTTTATTTACTTTGTACTTGAAACACTCTGAAGTGACCTAAACCAGCTTCAACTGGAAGACGTGAACACGTGAGTAACCTGAACTTTTGAGTCTAACGCTGAAAGTAATACAACTTATTCAGTAGTGCCAATGACAAATTAATGATATGCTTTAAGCCTTCAACAGACTTACAGTACGGCCACTGCTAGTTAGCGCTTTCACAAAAACTTGATTTGAAAGCACATCCAATTTCTTCTGCTCTTCACCCTAAAAATGAAACAGCAGCCAAATACAGTATGTACTTTAGCCAGACTACGATTCACAAAAGAACAAATTAATATACACAGAGTCATATAGGCTGCTCACTTGAACGTTGGTCTCTCCAGCAAGTCCAATTAATTTTGCAAGACCTGCCTGTAAATAAAAAACATAAATATGTAATGAGTATGTAAATATAGAATACATAATTTATCTACGTTGGAATACATAATTTCATAGGCAAGCTCTTTGATCAGGAAAAATAGATATATAGCGGTTTTCATGACAACTAGTCAGATTAATATTTGCTTAGTTTAGATTAAACTAATACTGATGATATGTACGGCCCAGACACGTATCAGTTAGGAGTCAGATACTATCCTAAAATGGCCCTATACGTATCACATACAGGGTATATATTAAAAAATTAGGAGAGTTTAACATTCAAAAATATCTTATTGTTGCAAGAGGTCTCAAGTATGACTGATTCTCCCCATTAGTGTCAGGGTATTTCTCTCTTTCATGATATATACCTTTTTTAGATCCTTTATCAGGGGTTCATGATGTCTTACTCCTACACAGGACCTAACTATACACATTATAAGGTAATGAAAATCAGAATTTTTATTTTTATTTTTTCATTTAATTCAACAACTACATAATCTTGCCAATGCAGATGAACCAAGATTAAAAAATGAAATAAAGGCGTGAAGGACATGAAGAAAAAAACCTTGCTAACGGAGGAGCAGACAAATTTGCAACCGAGAACAATGTGGTTGAGTAAGATGGTTAAATCGCCACGTGCCTCGGGATGCTTGGACTGCTCGTTAAGAACAAAACGAGTGATGGTCATTAGATCAGTTCTCTGAGCATCAGCCGCATGATCCATTGTTAGTGAATAATGAGGATTCAGATTTCAGAGATAGTTAAAGAAGAGTACGTAGAAGAAGAAACTGAAATGATGGAATGATGGAGATCGATCGAGAACTATAAAATATGCAAGAACTAGGGTTCGACAAATGGAATTGGATTAGTAGATATTATATTCCACATTTTCAGGATGAGCACTTGGACTGATTAAACCACTGACGTTGCTATAGGATAAAACCAACCAACAAAATACTGCAAAGTCAGATGAGAGATGTCAGATTGATGAGCTACCCCTACGAAACCGGGACACCAGTACCATCTATGTTGGCTTGAGATACCCCCACATTTAGGTAATTTCCATTCCCATAACGTGGGATCTTAACAGAGATGATAAGAATAACTTCTTGTGGCCACTCCATGAGTTGTGTACAGTACTTGTACTAGTTGTGACAGAGCCTCATGGCTATTCTTTGTCATTGGATTTTTAGTTTTACTTTTTTCATTGGATTATTCTTTTGTTGGATGAGATTCAAAACACTATAACACAATATAAATGATTGCTCAATACGATCCATCTGAAACCCAAATGTAAAAATAAACAATAAAAGTATAATCTTTACTTACAATAGATGCGAGGCCTGAAAGCTACCATGAGGCATAGCACAAAAAGGAAAATAGATGAAGCACGCACGCCTCTTCAGTCTTAACTAGCTCTCAACTAATTATTCAGAGACCAAACCAATTTGATTAATTATAACTGTACGAAGCGGTCCTTTCAATAATACAACAATCAAATTGAGATACATTGATAAACAATTTGAACCAACCAATCCACTTTATCAATGCATCCACACTTAACTTCATAGACAAGCAAATAATTAAACAGTTAGAGTGCTGTAAAGAAAAGAGTTGAGAGAGAAGCAAAGCATAATAGTTTTTTTTTTTTTTTTTTTTTTTTGCACAAAAAAACACAAGAGCACTTCCACTCATCATATTTTGCGATGGCAAGGTACCACAACACCCTTCACCTATTGTTGTGAGCCTGGAACCATAGCTGGGGCCATGGCAATTATAGTCCCAAGCCCAGCCATGGTTGGATGACATCATCTATGTAAACGTTGCATGGGGCTCACTCAAAAGCTGGAAATGCAACGGTCTTTGCAAAGTGACACTTTTTTTGCCTTTTGATTCAAATAGTAACTTCAATCTAATGATCCCGATTTTTTTTTTCATAAATAAATTATATATTAAATTTTGAAATATATATTTGAAATAAAAAATTCCCATTTTTGTCCACTGAAAATAAAATATGAACATGTAGTGCAACTATTGCAACTTATTCTAAATTCTCATCCATTGAAAAATGATTAAAATTATCTCATAAATGAAGAACAAAAATATCATCGTAAATGGTAATTGCCACAACTATTACTATTCACTATTCACGCAATTTTAGCTTGTGCTTGCATATCAAGGAAACTAATGTTGGAGTCAAATATGAAAGTCCAACCTTAATAGGTTTACACAATTGTATCCAGAATAAAATAGGGTTAGAGGTTTGATTAGGGAGCTATTTCTTGTGCCTTAAGAAAGAGTAAAAGCCACTCAATATTACGGTCTAATGGTATTCCTCTTCACTTGGAAGTGAGAGGTCTTAGGTTCGAATTTCGTGGATAGCGAATTCGATACCAAATTAGGCTACCCATTGTGTTGCTTTGTTGAACTCCCCTTCCTAGTAGTGTTAAAATATCAATGTACTAGGAAGAAAAAAGAAAAAGAGTAAAAGCCAGGTTATATTCCTATAGGCTCAGCGGTTCCTGCGTGAAATAAAATTTTGTGGGCTTTAATAATCTATTTATAGGCTCATTAAGGTTTATAGAATCCGTTATTATGTAAGATTCATGAACCCTATATAAGTTTGAAGTCCCACGCTGCTATTACATTACAACTTTCGAACTCCCCATCAGTTCATTGTACAAGGAGCAGCATTGTATAGATGTGCTGCAAGTTATCTCGTCCTCGTGTTTGATCATTCAACAATTCATCATGTCGCCTTCTCTAGGTAAGTAAAGTTATGTGTTTTGATTAGCATGAAACAATATTAAATTTTACAACTAACTCCTAACTCCATCTTCATCTAAGCTTGTCCTTCCGATATCATCTGTGTATGAGCGAAATAGATGCAACTTTTCTCATACCAAACCATCAATATCCAGCCAAGCTAACCATGAAGCTTGACTGAATCGGTATGTAGGTGGGTCGCATTAATTTTGGACATGAGTTGGTAAACTAGACTCATCGACACCGGATCATAGCCCAGCTAGATAATTGCTAGCACAAGTGCACAACAAAATCCCTGTATTTGTTAATTAGAGTTGATTAGTTCCTTGGTTAATCAACTGTACATATTGTACCTGGAAACGCATGTCATGTATCGAGAACATTATTTAATTTGAGATAGATAGAAATCTCTCCCTCTCTCTCTCTCTTTATAATTTACTGAGATTTGTTGAAGTTTCAACCATAAAGTTTTACCGACACGTTTAGACTTTTTAGATAAAATGGTTCTGAAAATTGTCATAACTCCTCATTTTGATTTTGATATTCAAAATCGATAGAAATGGTCACTGGGATTATATACCGTATATCACTTTGTTCTTTGATGAACTGAGCACAGAAAAAGAAAAACATCACAATGTTCCCCTCCTATATTTGACCAATATTATCGAGAAAACCACGATAAACAGTGTCCATACATTAAATCGCAAACGCTCATTTGTGAAAATAATATGCTGGGGAGAATCATGCTAAGGAAGGAAACTACTAGAAGATGGTCAAAAACTAGTTAAATCTCAACCGTTCATTTGTAAAAAATGTTATGAAAAGAAGAACCATGCAATGAAGGAAAGTATAAAATGACTCGTCTATGGAATGGGCTTGCGTAGTTGGGCTAGGATCCTATGTCAGCCCAGGTACTTAAACGCAGCGTCATATGCTAAAGTGAAAGGGGAAATTGTATAGCAGCTGAATTAAGCTCTGGTTCGCGATTCGTCATCTCTCTCGCAACTTCCGCAGCGCAGTCTTGCGGTGGACTCAGTCTCACAGGTAAAAACCAAACCCCCATTTTCTTCTCTACTTGTTTTCGGATATCTTGGGAACCATCATATTTTTGAAATTTTTATTACAATTTTTAATCAGATCTGTTTTACTCTTTAATCCCTTTCCCCCCCCCCCCTTTTTTTTTATATCAAATTTTGTTTTAAAAATAATTGAATTAATCGTGTATTTGTTCATGCGAGATGTGGATGGATATGTGGAATTGTTATGGGGTAACAAGAATTCAAAGGGTTTTGAGTATTGGGTTTTTTTGTTTCAGATATTTATTAGTATCCTTCGCTTTAAACTGGCATATATGTAATTTAGTGAAGCAAAAAGCTAAGTTCTTGAATGGGTTGAACTAATTTGTTTCTTTGATGGACCTAATACTAGTAATTATTAGCAGTGTATGCCTTCGCCGCCATTGTTCTGTTGTTTAATTCAAAAGCACCTGCCAAGTGATAGATTTGCATTTGCTGCTATTTTGTTTAGTGATTTGCATCTCATTATGCATTTTTCGACCCGGATATTTGAGATGTTTTTCGTGTGGGTTACGTGATGCAGTCAGGTCACTTGGAGGCTCCTTTGTACCGAGTTGTGTGACTTCTCGGCTTCTCTTTGATCATTTGCTATGTAAGTATTATACTTTTGTTGTATTGTTTGAATCTGTTCTAAGTTTTGTATTTGGGATATATATTGCTTGCGCTTTGTTTTCCAATCTGATCAAGAGTCTAAAATTGTGGTTTCAATACGGTTTGCGAACTCTTTTTTTTTTTTTTTTTTCATTTTCTTTTAAAACCATTAACAAAAGGTGCTTCATGGATTTAAAAGCGTTAGATGTGCAAAAAAACAGTGATTTTAGGGAAGCAGATAACCCGCTAGAGAGCTGAATATGTTGCATAATATCCATTAGATAGAGGGATAGATTACCAGTTATTTATATTCCATAGAGCTTTTGATTTGTTACTCCATCAAGTTCATCCATCCAGTTAGCTTTGAAGTGGATCCTCTATTGAGGACCTGGTTCTAAAGAATCTTCCAATTAGTTCTCAATGGAAAATTCGTATTAGACGGTGAGGATTAGTGAACAGGAGTTACTACTGACATTCAGCGTTAGCAACATTACAATACATAGAACTAGGCTTGGTGGCTACCTTAGTTCTACTTCTAACTCCTGCTTTTCTAACTACAAATATTTTTCCTTTATAAAAACAGGGGGCTGCTCAAATGGTTTCATATTTTCTGTTATATCATTAAAGTTAGGGTTGGAGAGCTTACTTTGTGTCGTGACCATGGAAGTCAAGAAATCATATATGCTCTATCTCATGATATCATTCTTCTAATGGCTTCTCAGATGATGCTGGTTTAGATTTCATTTAACTAAGTTTTAATGTAATAGATGATGATATTTGCCATAGCTCACTGATTTCAACCAACTGAAAGATCATGTTCAGTATAGTATGTATATGTATGTGTGTGTGTGTGTAAATTGATTCCCCATCTGTTGAGAAATCCCTCAAATAAGGACACCTCGTTGAGTTCGCTCCAAATTTTGTTTCAGTGATCTGAACTATCTATGTTTTAGTTCTTTGCTCAAAGATTATCCTCACAAAAAAAAAAAAAAAAAAAAAAAAAAAAGAGACAAATCCGAACATCTAGGTGCAGTACAAAAACTAGACGAACACGGTATTTCAAGAAAACACTAAATGATAACCATACAATAACAGTTTCGGATTTGAGTGATTTGTTGCAAGTGATCTTGGAGGGAAGACATGAAAACATAGATGGTTTGAATCATTTAAATACAATGCTAAGTCAGCCTCTGTGCATGTATGTCTCATCCTTTTTTTTGCGTAATATTTTTGGTAAAATATATTTAGGGCGGACGAGGAACCTGTTGATCAAAAGAATTACCTTGAAGAGATGTGCAAGCCAAAGTGTGTGAAACCGCTCCTCGAGTATCAGGTATGTGCAACATCCTAATGTTTTTCTAGAATGAAGTGTCTTTCTCCCTTGTTTCATTACTCTGACCAGGATAAAGGTCGCCCTAGAAGACGGGCCTGACATCTAATGTCTTGGTTGCTAGTAAGGTACATATCGCGAACGCCAAAAACAGTTTGACAAAATTCTGAAAATAGAACGCAACTTTTAGTTCAAGATTCAAGAGTTCAGCGTAAACTCAAAATGACAGGAGATGAAAATGTCAAACGTGTAATGTAATTTACAAACAAAAACAGAAAGTGATTGAGTCATACATGTGTTAGTAGTTTGATTTCGTTGTTTAAGCAATTGTTCAGTACATATGTGGGATGAACCAGAAAATGCTAAACCTTTCCTACCTACACGGAATCAAAGTTTGTGGCATTTGAATTAGTTTGCAAAGCTTGTGTAAAAAGGGTAATTTCATACTTTGTTACAGGCATGTGTTAAGAGGATCCAAGGTGATGAAACTGGGCACAAGCATTGTACTGGACAATATTTTGATTTCTGGTCTTGTATCGACAAATGCGTAAGTAGTACTGTTCAATTATCTTGAAACTATTTAGTTTTACCGTCTTGTTTGTTCCCCTAAAAGCCTAAAACTACAATTGCACGACGCAGGTTGCTCCAAAGCTTTTCCAGAAACTGAAGTGATGCGGTGATTAGTTTTGCCCTAAAGACGGCATTTGGTTTTTCAGTTTTGTCCTTAAATGCTTCAGAACAGCATGTTTTGTTCCCTGAACTAGGGATGAATGTATGATATTTTATGAACATAGAGGCACTGAATTTGTGATCAATAAAAAGTAAAGTTACGCTCCTTGGTGTGCCCGGTGCACATGGTAATTTCTTGATAGTCTTGTAAACACAAGTTAATATGCTTTGGGGCTATCCAGGTAGTGTGTCGATTGCTTATACATGTTTCCTTGTTTTTTATGTGATTTGGAGCGTTTGTTGACCTGTGTACTTATTTTTGGTAATCTATTTGCATTGTGTATTTGCTAAGCGGAACTTAAAACCCTTGGAGTTAAGAGTACACAAATTAAAAACATCACACGACATTCTTCACAGAATAGAATAGAAGGTTCGGATCGAATTCAGAACAATTTATGAAAATACGTATGTCCGTGTTTGATATCGAAGTTGTCATTTATAGGAGTTGAACTTTGAAATAATCTATTTACTAAGTACATAAGAATACAATTAGATTGTAGTACTAGATTTTAGAAGTATCTAATTACAATGGAAAATGGGTGTGAACTAGATCTGGCAATTTTATGAGCGACATGAAAACTCGACATGAAAAAAAATAAAATTATGTGTTCAGGCTTAATTGGTCTGGTGTTTTAATGGGTTAACCTATTAATATGTTTTTCTCTTTAAATCCATGCCATTCATTAATAGTACATATGCATAAAAAAAGTAGAAAATTAATAAAAGTCGCCCAATTTTTTTTATTCCGAAACTCGTAAACAACTTTATTATCATTAAATGTATATTTTTTTTTTTGAACAAATAATATTATCTACTCTAAGATCATCTTCAATCCTTGGGTTAAAACTTAAAATTTTTAACTTAGAAAATTTAGGCTTTAAGCTAGAAACAGTTTTTTTGCTCTAACCCTTCTGGTTAAATTTTTAGCTCGAGAATAGTAAAAATGAATTTAGGATAATTTTTATCTTAAAATAACTATATTTAAAAAAAAATCACTAAACCGACATCATGAAACTTGTGGAACACTATGAAAGAATATGAAACACATGAAAGATTTTTTTTTTATATAATTACTTTAGCCGTTGTATTTAAATTTGGATCATCAATTTTTTTTATTTTTTTTTATTTTTACCATTGCATTTTATCATATTAGATCTTAACTATTAGATTCAATAAATTTATAAATATAAAACAAAAAAATACATATATATGGTGGGCCAACCCACTAACCCAAAGGAGGAATCTTGGCCTAAATTTGCCTAGGGGTGGGCAAACGGGTCTAGGACCCCCGGGGCGAGGCAGGTCCAGCTGGTTTGGGGCGGGTACAAATTTTGTAAATTCAAAACGGGGCAGGGCAGGGCAGGTCGGGTCCATATAATTGGCATAGCAGGACGGGTCTTCTATCTTTGAAAATGGGCCCCCGACCAGGACCGTTTCTACTCTCCATCATATGGATCTTCACCGTTCCATTTCTAAACATATCTACTTTCTCAGTCTCTTTGCTCTCAACTTTCCAAATTAAGCAGGTTTCTCTCTCGACTCCTAAATCACCTACTCGACGACCACACGAAGAAGAAGATCGGCATCCTCGCCGACTGGGAGAAGAAGTTTGAAGCTTACTGAGTCGATGTTATCACCAATTCACCGTCGTCACCTATCACCGTTGTGGCAACCAGCTCTACGCCACAGTTCTCTTAGTCTTTCCCACTCCTGACATCAAAGAACCCAGGTCCTAGACCATCACCGATTCACCATCATCACCCATCACCGTCGTCGCGACCACAACCATCCAGCACCACCATCAAGGACACTACCATCATTCTGTTAAAATTTATGTAATTTGTTAATTAGGATTTATTTTTGTTTATGTGAATTTCTAATATAGGGATTTAGAGTTTTTGAATTAGGAGGTTTTGTCTGTATGCATGATCAAAGGGGTTTGATTTGTTGTTTTTGCATTTGGGTTTGCTTTGATTTGTTGCTTGTTGTTGTGCTGTTGATTGTTGCTTACTGATGTGCGATTGAATGTTGCTTGCTTATTCTCTTCTGTGATAAGGAAGACGACCTTAACGAGGTCGTCCTTTCTGTGGCTGACAAAACAATTGATATTGGACCCGTGGACCCGGCCTGCTTCAAATTTTGAAATCCCATTACCCGGCTCCCCCCTCCCTATTACTATTTACAACAGGTAAGGTTTGGTTCCTCTAAATTTGGGCCCGGCTCGGCCCGTGTCCACCCCTAAATTTGCCCCATAAATGAGTTTTGCGTTAAAACTCATCTTTGCCCCAAAGGTTGGAGCAAGTTGAGGAAGGTTTATAACTTAAAATTCGAGTTTTACTCCAAGAGTTAGAGTAGGTATAAGAGGGTGGGGGAATGGGCTAACCCTCACACTAGGCTAGCCAGTTGCAAGTGCAGAGAAATACCACTAGACTCTAGTACTAGTGACAAAACTCACAATATTTTATTTAGTGTAAATACAGAGGACGATTTAGGGGTGTGTAAAAGGTGCAGTGGAACAGGGCTCAGTATTTCTGAGAAGCCCCAAAAATTTTTACCTTCTTATATATTACATATGAGTATAACTTTTTAATAAAATGTTTTTAATTGAAAAGAAAAATCATCATCATATGATTTTAAATGTTGCAATCATATGATTTTAAAAGGGGCAGTGGAACAGGGCTCGGTAATTATGTTGCAATCATATTTAGAATAGGAATGTGAGTGTGTAAATCTTAGGAGATATGGGAAAGTATCTTATATTCCTGTTAGGAGTAGATTACCTATTAAATGTTGTAATCCTAAAGGGAAAGGTTTTTACCTATCCTACTACTATAAATAAAAGCACAATGGGGTGAATCAAACACACCTCACAATTAAATAAATCTCTCTTCTCTCTAATTGTGGCCATCCCTCTCTCTCTCTAAACCCTAGATCGTTCAATCAAATAGGCCTACAACACGTTATCAGCACGCTATTGCCAGAAGCTGAGGAATTGACGCATCTTAGAAGAAGGCTATCATCCACCAAATTCAATGGCTTATTTGTTTTCTGCTAATCAGGTATGCTTAAAATAAAAGAAGATATTTGAAACGTCCATGAAGCATGAAAACATTCCCCATGATGCATGAACCCCTATATGTTTATATTTTCCTTTCGATATATATATATACACACACACACACACACACACACATTGTATATGTTTATATATTTGTCAAATTGTTAATATGTGAGTCAATGTATAAAATTAAATTAGAAGTAAATATAGGTTTCCTAAACCCTAGGTTCGAAATATTGGGTATTTTTTGGTCTTACTGTGGGATGGCATCACCCTGCCCTTGGACTACCTGCGCAACCCCTATTGGGTTTGCTGCTTTCTCAGGCAAAACCAAGCCTTGGCTTGGGTTCCATGTCGCACGGGCCTGCAACCCTTCCCCCTTGCCATCGGCACACAATCTACATGCCGCAACCCTATGGTTGTTGGGCTTTACAGCAGCCCTATCCCGCGCACATATAGCCAGCCCATTAAGGCTAGGCTTAGCTTTCCGCACTAACGACCAAGGTCTCAGCCTTCGCTGGGCCTTCCTATGTGCTAGCCTACAAGCCAGCATATGCTGGGCTTGTCCCCGTGCCACCCACACCCAGGCCCTTTGGTCTGCTTTCTTGCAGCCAACCCGAGGTCTTTTTGGGCCACACATTTTACTCAAGGCACCAAACCAAGCCCAAATTATTTTAGGGTTATATTTTTAATCTAAAAATATTATTTTAATATTATTTGGCTTCTACAATCGACCCCATATGACCCGATTTATTGAATTAATTAAAAGTTACCTGCAGTCCATTAATCTGATAATGAATCCAAAATTATTGACCTGAAGATCATTTTTGGACATTAACGATTCAATAATTTATTTTTATACTCTGAACCGTCACATACTCTCGTAGTAACGAAGCTCTCACACTTAAGTTCCCGAAGAACCTCAAATCCATTATATTAAAATTAGTATATTGCATTCTGTGTTTTTTGCAGGAACCTCTCATTATGAACTAATTGTTCATAAAACTAAATTGAACATTTAGTTTCAAATTTAGTGCCTTTGAAACCCGAAATTTTCATTCAAAACATACCACATGAAAGTTGTAGTTTTCATGCATAAATTAAACCAATACATGTCAATAGAACCTGTATATTGTACGATATATGTCTATGGCTTACCATATGACTACTCACGTTTTGTCCCTATGTTTTAGGGACATGTCGAACTTGAACAAGCTCGGTTTCTCCGCTCTAGAAGTCTCTGGAAGAAACTATATGAAGTGTGTTCAAGACGTGAAGCTCCATCTCATTACAAAGGGCATTAGAGCCACCATCAAGGCACCTATCGCCGACAAACCTGTTGACGAAGCTCAGAAGGCTACTGCAATGATCTTCATTCGAATACACATCCATGATGCACTGCAAACTGAGTATCTCGTTGAGGAGGACCTTCGCACCCTCTGGTTTGCTCTAGCCGACCGTTTCGATCACCAGAAAGACATATATTTGCTTAAAACAAGACACGACTGGTAGCATCTTTGCTTCCAGGACTTTAAGTCCATGAATGAATACAACTCTAAAGTTTGTAGAATCTGTTCTTTGTTGAAATTCTGCAAAGTGAAACTAATCGAATCAGATCTCCTAGAGAAGACCTATTCGACCTTCCATGCCACCAATATTGTCTTGCAGTAACAATATAGGGCACATAAATTCACCAAGTTTTCGAATTTGATATCTATTTTACTTCTCACTGAAAAGCAGAATCAGTTTTTTATAAAGAATCATCAAGCTCGACCCACTGGCTCGAACGCCACGCCTAAAGCGCATGCGACCTATTCTAGCAGCAATAAATGAAGAAAGAATCGTCGTGGCAGTGGCAATGGGTGGCAAGTCCAACCACGAACCCAAGGTCAACAGAGTGCCGCACCTAAGGGAAGAAATGTGACCCTGCAGCGTCCACCACTCGCCCTTAAGGCCTAAACTTTAAGAACAATGGCAAAGCTCCTGTTCAACCCGTTTTTACTAAACTGGACATGTGCTATCATTGTGGATCAAAAGATCATTGGTCAAGTGTATGCCGAGCTTCCCCTGAGGC